GGCTGGAGTGCAATGGCGCGATCTCGGCTCACCGCAACCTCCGCCTTCTGGGTTCAGGTAATTCTCCTGCCTCAGCCTCCTGAGTAGCTGGGATTACAGACACGTGCCACCATGCCCAGCTAATGTTTTGTATTTTAAGTAGAGATGGGGTTTCACCATGTTGACCAGGATGGTCTCAATCTCTTGACCTCGTGATCCACCTGCCTCGGCCTCCCAAAGTGCTGGGATTACAGGGTTGAGCCACCGCGCCCGGCCGAGTCTAAAATTTATTTAGGTAGTTAACATGCTTGCCTATCAGCACAATCTCTTCAAACCTTCTATTTAAACTTTGCTAAGACAGGTCTAGAGTACTCGTTTTTGGTAGAGATGGGGTCTCCCTACATTGCTCAGGCTGGTGTCAAACTCTTGGGCTCAAGCAGTCCTCACACCCTAGCCTCTGAAAGTGCTGGGATTGTAGGTGTGAGCCACCTACAACCATGCCCCTCGACTATTCTTTATCGAAGGGTTATTTTAGCCCTACTCCTGAGAAACAGCATTCCTAAGGCCTCTACTGAAGATCCAGTCTTTTCAAAGACACCTCTGCATTCCAGCTAGTCAGAATGGAAGATCTTCCCCACCCTTGGAAGCTCTGGTGACAGTTATCTTCCACACCCTCGGGAGCTCTGGTGACGGTTAACCTTCCCCACCCCCGGGAGCTCTGGTGACGGTTAACCTTCCCCATCCTCAGGAGCTCTGGTGACAGTTAACCTTCCCCATCCTCGGGAGCTCTGGTGACAGTTAACCATCCCCACCCTTGGGAGCTTGGGCTCTACTAAAAATACAATTAGCCAGGAGTGGTGGCAGGAGCCTGTAATCCCAGCTACTCAGGAGACTGAAGCATGATAATTGCTTCAACCCAGAAGAGGGAGGTTGCAGTGAGCCAAGATCAAGATCACGCCACTGTATTCCAGCCTGGGGGACAGGGCAAGACTGTCCCCAAAAAAAAGTTTCATTATAAACAACACTGTAACACATCTGTGTAGTAAGTCCTCACACTGAGTGAGCAAACTGGTGCCTTACAGTAAATTCCTGAAGGGAAACTGCTAGGTCATTTAAGGTTTTACCAAACTGCCCTCCAAATGATCTGTCAACTGACACTTAGAGACCCCACACTGGCCAGGTGCAGTGGCTCACACTTGTAATCCCAGCAGTTTGGGAGGCCAAGGTGGAAGGATCTCCTCAGCTCAGGAGTTCAAGACAACATAAGGAGATCTTATGGGCAACATAAGGAGATCTTGTCTCTAAATTAAAAAACAAATTTTTGCTTCCTTTTTGATCCGCCAATTGCGCCTCAGGTGGGGCCGCCACCAAAATGCAGATTTTCGTGAAAACCCTTAAGGGGAAGACCATCACCTTCGAGGCTGAACGCTGGATAGAAAATGTAAAGGCCAAGATCCAGGATAAGGAAGGAATTCCTCCTGATCAGCAAAGACTGATCTTTGCTGGCAAGCAACTGGAAGAGGGATGTACTTTGTCTGACTACAACATTCAGAAGAAGTCTACTCTTCATCTTGTGTTGAGACTTCGTGGTGGTGCTAAGAAAAGGAAGAAGTCTTACACCACTCCCAAGAAGAATAAGCACAAGAGAAAGAAGGTTAAGCTGGCTGTCCTGAAATATTGTAAGGTGGATGAGAATGGCAAAATCAGTCGCCTTCGTTGAGAGTGCCCTTCTGATGAATGTGGTGCTAGAGTGTTTGTGGCAAGCCGCTTTGACAGACATTATTGTGACAAACGTTGTCTGACTTACTGCTTCAACAAACCAGAAGACAAGTAACTGAGTTAATAAAAGACATGAACTACATAAATAAATAAATTTTTTTAAAAAAAGAGACACATGGTGTCTCTCACCAAAGCATTCACATTTATAACCATTCAGTTGTAAGTGGCTGTTTAATGTCTCTCACACTTCTGTTTCTTAAGAGCTATTTCACAACAGAACACCAATAAACATTTCTATTGTATTATTTCGAAATGTGAGTTATAAAGGCAAAAAAGTATAGAATGCTTAAATTAGGACTGATGTGTACCACTGGATAAAATTCTTTGACATTCCTAAGAACACAAGCACAGTAAGCAGTCACTCATCCACGGAGGCTGTCAGTGTTACTGATGCTCAAAACTCACTCCAGGAAGTCCACAAGGGTTTATGTAGTTTCTGACCATAGAGACTCTTATTCCGTCAACTTATAAGCCACACTTTTTCCAAATTCCCACCAATACAAACATAAATGCCAAAAAGATTAAATATTTAAATGAAAAACAAAAGCATTAAAATAACAAGCTGGCCACAGTAGGGTATACCATAGTCCCAGCTACTCAGGGGGCTGTGGCAGCAGGATCACTTGAGCCCAGGTGTTCAAGATCAGCAACCTGCCTGGGCAACATAGTGAGACCCTCTCTGTAAAAACCACCACCAAAAAAAAAAAAAAGTGAAGACTCTGCATAAAGTCACATAAGGAAAGATCTATGTGTAGACATAACAGAGAGACAGACACGTAACAATCAGAAACGCGGCTCCAGTATCTTTCAGCATGCAGAAATTAAGGAAGTGAAAAAACAAATGCAAACTGAGAAAATACATTAAAGAGAATCAATAGTGAGCTTTCATGAACATAAACACTTTTTAAACTCTCTATAAAAAAGCAAAGGCTAGGCCGGGCGCGGTGGCTCAAGCCTGTAATCCCAGCACTTTGGGAGGCCGAGGCGGGTGGATCACGAGGTGAAGAGATCGAGACCATCCTGGTCAACATGGTGAAACCCCGTCTCTACTAAAAATACAGAAAATTAGCTGGGCATGGTGGCGTGTGCCTGTAATCCCAGCCACTCAGGAGGCTGAGGCAGGTGAATTGCCTGAACCCAGGAGGCGGAGGTTGCGGTGAGCCGAGATCGCGCCATTGCACTCCAGCCTGGGTAACAAGAGCGAAACTCCGTCTCAAAAAAAAAAAAAAAAAAAATACAAAGGCTATAAACGGGTTGTCACAAAGAGAATATAAAAGGCCAGCCGGGCGCGGTGGCTCAAGCCTGTAATCCCAGCACTTTGGGAGGTCGAGGCAAGTGGATCACGAGGTCGAGAGATCGAGACCATCCTGGTCAACATAGTGAAACCCCGTCTCTACTAAAAATACAAAAAACTAGCTGGGCATGGTGGCGCGTGCCTGTAATCCCAGCTACTTAGGAGGTTGAGGCAGGAGAATTGCCTGAGCCCAGGAGGCAGAGGTTGTGGTGAGCCGAGATCGCGCCATTGCACTCCAGCCTGGGTAACGAGAGCGAAACTCCGTCTCAAAAAAAAAAAAAAAGGCCAACAAATACATAAATAGGTGCTGAATTTCACTAACAAAGAAGTGTAAAATAAAATAATGTGATACAATTTTTGACAAATTACATTCACAAAAATTAAAAAGACTTATGGGGAGGTCGGCTCTGTGGCTCACACCTGTAATTCCAACACTTTGGGAAGCAAAGGCAGGCGGATCACAAGGTCAGGAGACCATCCTGGCCAACATGGTGAAACGCTGTCTTTACTAAAAGTACAAAAATTAGTCGGGCATGGTGGTGCACAGCTGTAATCCCAACTACTCAGGAGGCTGACGCAGGAGAATCGCTGGAACCCGGGTAGTGGAGGAGGCAGTAGGCCGAGATCGCATCCCTGCACTCCAGCCTGGCAACAGAGCAAGACTCCATCTCAAAAAAAAAAAAAAAAAAAAAGACGACTTACGGGGCTGAGCACAGTGGCTCGCCTGTTATGCCAACACTTTGAGAAGCCAAAGTGAGAGGAATGTTTGAGCCCAGGAGTTCAAGGTTGCAGCGAGCTAGGACTGTGCCAGCACTCCAGCCTGGCCAACAGCAAGATTCCATCTCAAAAAAAAAAAAAAAAAAGAAGAAGGTTTCAGTAACTGCTGTGATTCTAGCCACTTACTGAACCTTGAGGGTGGTCTTGGAGACCCTGAAGTTCGAATTGATGCCGGAAAGGCAGTCAGCCAAGCATGGTGACTCAGGCCTGTAATCAAGCACTTTGTGAGGCTGAGGTGGACAGATGTTTGAGCCCAGGAATTCTAGACCAGCCTGGGCAACAAGTGAAACCTCAAATCGACCAAAAAAAAAAAAAAAAAAAAATTAGCTGGGCCTGGTGACATGCACCTGTAGTCCCAGCTACTCAGGAGGCTGAGATGGGAGGGCTGCAGAGCCCGCACAGGCAACGTTACACACCAAGGCCAGGACTGAAGACAAAACATCACAGGACCGCATGGGCAAACCATTTACTCTGTGCCAGAAACAGGCAGCCTGAGATACAGCGAAGAGCAAGGCAGGAGGTCTTGAGTAAGGCAGGGTTGTTGTGAGGATTAAAGGAGAGTGCTCGCAGAGGCCCTGAGAGTGCTACAAGAGAAGGCCCCTCAAGTTCGGAGAGGACTCACTGCACTGCTGCGCCCCACCCCTACCCCATGGCGTCACCCCCACGGTGGCCCCAGTCCCCAATTAACCCCGCCCACGCCATCACCTCGCCCCCACGTCCTTAGCCACGCACTTTAGTGTCAAGGCCCCACCCTCGCCACGCTGGCCAGAATCCCCGTTTAACCCCGCCCACGCCGTGGCCCCGCCCTGCGGACGTTGACCACGCCCTTCGCATCGTGGCCGAGCCCCCTTCACAGCCCGGGCCCCGCTTAACCCAGCTCATTCTGTCGACCGGCTCCGACAGTATGGCCCCGCCCCATGACGGTTTGATCCCGCCCCATGGGGTTTGAACCCAGTGTAACTCTGCGTCCAGCTATCTTGACCTCACGCCACAGCCCACCCAAATCGCCCCGGCCCGAGCACGGCCCCGCCCTCCCCACTGCAGCCGGGACCCACGTCACCCGATCCACCCCTGGCATCACGACCCCCGCTCCCCGACCAGCCTGGACGCTCGCCACGCCCCGCAACGTCACGGCCCACCCCGCCCCCACCCCAGCCGCCGCGATCCTCACCAGCTCGAACCGGTTGTTGACTCGGACGCCCTCCTTCCCTGCCTCCCCGGGGCGCCGGCCACCCAGCTCCCGCTTGGGCCCTTCTTCTTCCGCGTCATCGTCATCGCGGAGGTCGAACTGCAGGGCGCCGGGCCCGAGGGGCTCCTGGCCGCGCTGTTCCCCCCTCAGCCTCCTGAGGGCCCGGCGCGACATAGGACCCAACGACCACGACGTCTGGAGAGAAGGAGAAGGAAGCGCAGAAAACTCAGCGGACGGCGCGCCTGCGCAGTCGTGGCGTCGGGGGGCGCTGGCTGCGGCGCCTGCGCACTCCTGGCGCGAGAGGCGGGGGCGGGGCCTGTTGTGCGGCGCCTGCGCGTTGCGGCTCCCTGGAGCTTCCGCGCCTTAACCGCGGCGTCTGCGCGGTCTCTGGCGGGTCGCGGTCGGGTTTCGGCAGGGCAGGGAACCTATGTGCCGTGGGCCCGGGCTTGGAGCGGTGCCCCGCGGGGATGACGGGGTTCGATGCGGGGAAAGGGGCGCGCAGCGGGCGACACTCGGCCCTTCCAGGCCTTGCCCATCCGTGTGGCCCGGACCCCGCAGCCGCGCTCGGCCCGCCGGGAACCGCCGCCAGGACCTGTCCCCGCCCGGGCCTGGAGCGTTTCAGCTGCGTCCCGGGCGCTGCTGCTTGGTTCTTTTCGTGTCACCGTGGTCGAGTGATCTGGCCGGCAGAGGCCTCGTTAGGGACAGTGATTCTGAGTTCCAGGACAGGCCGCCCGCGCTGGCCACGCCTGCAATCCCAGCACCTGGGGAGGCAGAGGCGGGCGGATCACCCGAGGTCAGTTTCCAGACCAGCCTGGGCGACATGATGAAACCGTCTCTACTAAAAATGCAAAACGTAGCCTGTGATCCCAGCTATTCCCAGGGCTGAGGCTGCCATGAGCCGAGATCGCGCCACTCCACTCCAGCCTGGGGGACAGGGCCAGACCGTCTCAAAAAAATGAAAAACAGAAATAAAGTAGAGGAGACTGAGACGGGGCTCAGTTCCGTGGGCGGACGGCACAGCTTCCTGTGCGTGGGGTTGGGACCTCGGGTCAGGCGGGCACAGAGAAGACAGGTGCCAGCAGCCTGCTGCCCTCCCTACTACGGCCTCCTGAGCCCAGGAAACGGCGCTGGTGGGCCGGCCCCGCCCCTCCCAGGGCGGGTTAGGATTTTATTTTCTGAGATGAGGCTTGGCTCTGTCTCCCAGGCTGCAGTGCACTGGTGCAATCTCGGCTCACTGCAACCTCCAACTCCCAGGCTCAAGCAATCCTCCTGCCTCGGCGTCCCAAGTAGCTGGGACTACAGGCACCTGCCACCATGCCATGCTAATTTTTGTACTTTTAGTACAGACGGGGTTTCACCATGTTGGCCAGGCTGGTCTCCAACGCCTGATCCGCCTGCCCCAGCCTCCAAAAGTACTGGGATTACAGGCGTGAGCCACTGTGCCTGCCCTGGGTTAGGGTTTTAATGGGGGCTTTCATTTCCAAGTGTTTCTGTATGGATTACAACCGAGTCTTCCTATGAAGGGTGTGTAAGCCCCTGTGGAACCAGGAGAACCACAGTTGGCCTTACTGAGTGCTACACATTAGCTTTCTTATTGCTGGCTATGTGACCAGGGGAAATTCCTGACCCTCTCTGTGCCTGTTTTATTTTTTATTGTTTTTTTGAGACAGAGTCTCACTCTGTCACCCAGGCTGGAGTACAGTGGCACAATCTTGGCTTACTGCAACCTCTGCCTCCTAGGTTCAAGCAATTCTGCCTCAGCCCCCGAGTAGCTGGGATTACAGGCATGTGCCACCACACCTGGCTAATTTTTGTGTTTTTAGTAGACACAGGGTTTCACCATGTTGGTCAGGCTGGTCTCGAGCTCGTGATATCATGATCTGCCCTCTTAAGCCTCCCAAAGTGCTAGGATTACAGGCACAAGCCACCACGCACGGCCTCCCAAAGTGCTGGATTTTAAACAGGAATAAAAATACAGGGCCAGCAGGAGGCAGAGGTTGCTGTGAGCAGATATCACACTATTGCATTCCAGCCTGGGCAACAAGACCAAAACACTGTCTGAAAAAAAAAAAATACACACACACACACAAAATTCTATCTCAAAAAAAATACACACACACAGCCAAAGCTGGCTGATTTTCTTGGGTGCTCTATGTGTGTGGATTTCTTAGGCCCCAGCTGATAGTGTGTATGGATTTACTGGGCCCCAGCTGACAGGAGTGTTTCTCCCACAGGCCCATCTGTTACAAGTCAGGTCCCTTCCCAACCTCCAGGCCCCATGGCCGGCATTACAGCCTGGGGTCAAAGTTCCTGGGTGAGCTATGTATTTTTGGCCAAATTATTTCACCTCATTTAGTCTGTTTCCTCATGTGTAAGGTGAAATGAGAGCAGAACCTCACAGAGGAACAGGGCAGGGCGCTGTACCAGGCTGAGCCAGGCACAGGTGGGCAGACAGCACTGGGCACAGGGCCTGTCTAAAGCCTCAGTCACACCTCCAGCCCCTGTGATTCCTCTCTCTGGAAAACAAGAATAGGGATCTGGGAAGTGAGACTAAACTGTCCCCCAGGCCAGCAGGTGTGGCCAGGGGAGCTGATGGGATGTGGTCTGTGCTGTCTGCCTGCACCCCTGACCAAGGTGGCCAGGACCGTGAAGCTGGTAGAGCCAGCCAGGGCTGCAGGGACAGAGCAGGCCTGGGACCCTCGCAGGGTAGGCATGCAACTGTGCTAAGCCAGGGAGGCCTTTCCTGGTCCTGGAGGGCAGGTGGCCCCTCAAGCCGAGCTTCAACCTTGGGAGACTATGCCCACTGCCATGCTGGGCGAACCCTCAGTGCACATCCCAGACAGAACGTGTGAAACTTCCTTTATTAGGCCAAGACTGGCCATGTGCACAGATTGACAGAGCTGTTCCTCCCCGGACTGGGACCTCCCAGCATCTTCAGTAGCCTCTGAGCCTGAGGCGAGTGAGGACAGCACCAGAATGTGGGAGGGCAAAGGGGCAGGACAGCTGGGGTGTGGACCCCAGGCAAAGGGGAGGGAGAAGCTTGGCATGGACCTTTTTTTTTTTTTTTTTTTTTTTGGAGACAGTTTCCCTCTTTCACCCAGGCTGGAGTGTAGTGGTGTGATCTTGGCTCACTGCAACCTCCGCCTTCGAGGTTCAAGTGATTCTTCTGTCTCAGCCTCCTGAGTAGCTAGGATTATAGGCGTGCACCATCACGCCCGGCTAATTTTTGTATTTTTAGCAGAGGCAAGGTTTCATCATGTTGGCCAGGCTGCTCTTGAACTTCTGACCTCAGGCGATCTTCCCTCCTCGGCCTCCCAAAGTGCTGGGATTACAGGTGTGAGCCACCACACCTGGCCAGACCTTTCAGAGGCGGGGCGGGGGGGGGTGCCTCCCAGGAGAACCCTGCTCACTCACTTCCCATGTGCTGCCCAAGTCTCTACAAAGGGAGAGCAGAGGCGAGCAGGGCACTCCGGACCAGCTGGGAGCCAAGATACCCGATCGCCACCTAGACATCCACTGGGGAGAGGAAGCTGCTGTCCTCATTGCTGGGAACAGAGAAGAGAATGGGAACATTGGATGCAGTCTGCCAGGATCTAGAACCCTCTGCTGTCTCTCTTCAGTGAGGAAACCCACTCCCTGTTCCCCTATTCCTCCCTGGCAAGGAATCCTGAGAAGAAACAGCCTCCCCGAGGGAGGGTTCTGAAGTGCGCCTGAACCCGTATGAGCTCTGGGGCCAGGAAATGATGTCTATAAATATATAGGCCGGGTGTATATATTATAAATCTATCTATGTATATATGTACATGCACAGCTCAGCGCGTCCTAGCCTGGAACAGGGCCTGCCTGGTGCCTCCTGGAGGCCTGGCCTGCTGGTGCTGTCACTTGAAGTCAAGAGTCCTGGTGTTAGGAATGTAAAGGGACTGGGTCTGGCGGCTGCGTCGTGGCGTGGTGTTGAGGACGTCCACACTCTTACGGCTGGAGCGCACCACATCGGCCACAAAGCCACTGCACTCACTGCAGACATCCTTGAGGACACAGCCGTGGGAGTAGATGTGGGGGAACGCCTCCTCCACGCTCTGCCACTGTGGTCCTTGCAGAGACCTAGGGAGCAGGAGAGAGCAGTCAGGGAAAGCAGCCAGCCAGGGTGCAAGATCCCACCCCATCCCTGACTCTGCATCCTAGAGCCCCTCCAGGCTGCTTTCGCCCTAGGCCTCCCCTTGGCCCTCAGGAACCCATGGGGTTTTGTGTAACTGACACAGCCAGCAGTGTTCATCTCAGCAAACACTGCTCCCTGACCACCTATACTACTCAGCCTCCCAGAGACCTCCAAAATAATCTGTCTCTGCCTTGGAGTTCCATTTCCTTGGGGTGTCCTAGCACATGGAGACAAAGCCAGCCCCCTCCACCCTGGCTCCCAGAGTACTGTTCATGCCCGACCACCAAAGTGACATCAGCAGCAAGGCAAAGAACGCACTGGAAGACGTCTCTTCTCTGGACTGGCGTGGTTTTGGCAGCCGACACCCTCTGAGGACTCTCAAAGCCCAGTGTGTAGACAGGGATGTGTGCAAACTTCTTAGAAGGCATCTTCATCTGCAGCAGAGGGAGGAGGTATGGACCAGGAACCCCCACAGGGACACTCAGGTCACACCCAGTGCTAGAAAACCCTGTGGGACCTGTGTGGCAGCCAGCACCACCTAGAGAATTTCCGCAATTGCTACACTCTCTGGTGTCTCTGTGCCATTTGTCTGAAGACCCACATGTGACTCCTGCTGGCTGCACACACCCATTCACGTTCTCTGCTCATCTGGACAGGGCCTTCTTAGAGGGCAAAAACTGGACCTTTTTATACCATATGGGACCTAGCACCATGCCCTGCACGTAATCAACATTTAACACGGATGCGGTGGAAGTTTTCCCATTGCCAAGTGCCAGGATATGGAGTAAGGGTTTTTATTATTTATTTATTTATTTATTTATTTATTTATTTATTTGAGACGGAGTTTCGCTCGTTACCCAGGCTGGAGTGCAATGGCGCAATCTCGGCTCACCGCAACCTCCGCCTCCCGGGTTCAGGCAATTCTCCTGCCTCAGCCTCCTGAGTAGCTGGGATTACAGGCACGTGCCACCATGCCCAGCTAATTTTTTGTATTTTTAGTAGAGTCGGGGTTTCACCATGTTGACCAGGATGGTCTCGATCTCTTGACCTCGTGATCCACCCGCCTCGGCCTCCCAAAGTGCTGGGATTACAGGCTTGGGCCACCGCGCCCAGCCGGTTGGAGTAAGGGTTTTTAAATAGTGGTGGGAAAAGTACCCCTGAAGCAGAGTCTTGCTTCTGAATTGAGGCATGAAGAGAAACTTTTTTTTTTTTTTTTGAAGACACAAGATCTTGCTCTGCTGCCCAGGCTGGAGTGCAGAGGCACCATAGCTCACTGTAGCCTTGAACTCTTGGGCTCAAGAGATACTCCTACCTCAGCCTCCCAACGTGCTGGAACTGCAGGCATGAGCCACCTTGCCTGGCTGGTGACATACTTGTATGTATGTATGTATTTATGAGACGGAGTTTCAGTGTGTCACCCAGGCTGGAGTGCAGTGGCGTCGTCATAGCTCACCACGGCCTCTGTCTCCCGGGTTCAAGTGATTCTCGTACCTCAGCCTTCCGAGTAGCTGGGATTACAGGTGTGTTCCACCATGCCAAGCTAATTTTTTTGTTTTTTTTGTTTGTTTGTTTGTTTGTTTGTTTTTGAGACCGAGTTTCACTCTTGTTACCCAGGCTGGAGTGCAATGGCGTGATCTCAGCTCACCGCAACCTCCACCTCCTGGGTTCAAGCAATTCTCCTGCCTCAGCCTCCTGAGTAGCTGGGATTACAGGCATGCGCCACCATGCCCAGCTAATTTTTAGTATTTTTAGTAGAGACAGGGTTTCAACCAGGATGGTCTCAATCTCTTGACCTCGTGATCCACCCGCCTCGGCCTCCCAAAGTGCTGGGATTACAGGCTTGAGCCACCGCGCCCAGCCCATTTTTTTGTATTTTTAATAGAGATGGGGGTTCACCATGTTGGCCAGGCTGGTCTCAAGTGGTCTGCCAGCCCTGGCCTCCCAAAGGGCTGGGATAACAGGCATAACCACACAGGCTGCTGCAATAAGGAACCCCTCCTAAAACACTCAGAAAGTTACAGAATGTCAGAAGATGGGACTTTGAAACCGGAAGTGAAGAGTTTTTTTGGCACCAGGCTACTAACATGGAATGTTTACAAACAAAAACCTGTAAGGGTCTTTAAAAACTGCACACTGTCTTGGAAAGTTTAAGAATGGATTCTGCTTGAAAGGAAATGGATGAGGTGCCTGGTGAGGTCAGGATCATCCAACATGTCAAATCAAAGACAGTGGGGCCTCTCACCTCCCTTGCTGAGACCCCAGAGATCCCACACACTCCTCACCTTTATGCTGCAGGAAGTGCAGACAGCTCTGGAAGCGAACAGGAAATGCATCATCAGCAGGGAGGAAGCCCACAAAGAAACAGCTGAGAAACAGTTGCATCCCAGCCTCCACACACCCCGGTTCAAACCATCCTTGTCTTCTGCTTGATCCCTGGTTACTTCAGTACATTTTACTCCAAAATCCTGCTTTGCTTTACACTTAGGTATCCACCCAAAATACATGCGGTCCTCAGCATTCTCTCAGGAAGGTCTGCACCTGGAGTTTTCTACTGCCAAGTGGCAGGATATAGAGTAAAGTTTAAAAATAGTGGTGGTCAAAGTCCCTAGGTATGATGGGTGACATACTTTTGGAATGTTTAAAAACAAAAACCTACAAAGGTCTTTAAAAACTGCACACTGTCCTGCAAGGACATCTAAGATGCCTTCTAAACAGACATGTAGACAACGGCGTGTAACTGACACAACTCACCATGTAAGCCAGAGGGGCCTCAACTGAGATGCTCAATTTTAAACAGGGATTCATTTTTTTTTTAAATTCCCATATCTGATTTCAAAAGCAAATACCTTCTTACAAAAATTCAAACATGAAAGAATTTATCATTTAGACACCCCATCCTCAGAAACGGCCCATGCTAGTAATAGTTTCCACTCTCCAGGCTTTTCCAAGCATATAGCAACAAAAATATTTTACAGATAAAATTAGGTGATTTTTCTTTTTCCAGATGGTGTCGCTTGGTCACCCAGGCTGGAGTGCAGTGACACCACCATAGCTCACTGCAGCCTCGACCTCATGGGCTCAAGTGATCCTCCACCTCAGCCTCCCGAAGTGCTGGGATTACAGGCATGAGCTACCACACTCAGCCTTACTTTCTTAGTCAATCTGGGAAACTCTGCCTTTTACTTGGGTTGTTTAGATCATTTACAGTTAATGTGATGCTCGTTACAGCTGTGTTTATGTCAGTCATCTTGCCATTCGTTTTCTTTTTGACTCATTTGTTCTTTCCCTTCTTTTTCTACCATTTTTTGGATTAATTCCTTTTTATGGTTCCATCTTACCTCTTGTTGACTTATTAGCTGTACCTGTTTTACTGGTTGCTTTAGGACTTATGGTATATATCTTTTTTTTTTTTTTTTTTTTGAGATGGAGCTTCGCTCTTGTTACCCAGGCTGGAGCGCAATGGTGCGATCTTGGCTCACCGCAACCTCCGCCTCCTGTGTTCAGGCAATTCTCCTGCCTCAGCCTCCTGAGTAGCTGGGATTACAGGCACGTGCTACCATGCCCAGCTAATTTTTTGTATTTTTAGTAGAGACGGGGTTTCACCATGTTGACCAGGATGGTCTCGATCTCTTGACCTCGTGATCCACCCACCTCGGCCTCCCAAAGCGGTATATATCTTTAACTTATCACAGTCCTACCTTTAAGGAATACACGACTTGGTATAGTATGCCTAATATTCCAAACCTTATCATGGTGAACTCTGTAACACTATACGTCCAATTTTCCCCTCTCCCTGGCCTTAATGCTAACTGTTGTTATCAACACTACTTAGACATGTGGTATAAAACGCACAAGACATATGTGTAGGTGTTAGCCTAAAAAGGGGATAAAAAAAAAAAAGAGGCAAAGCCCACAGTACCCTGTAACTGATTTTTGTCTTTTTTTTTTTTTTTTTTGAGGCAGAGTTTCGCTCTTGTTACCCAGGCTGGAGCGCAATGGCGCGATCTCGGCTCACCGCAACCTCCGTCTTCTGGGTTCAGGCAATTCTCCTGCCTCAGCCTCCTGAGTAGCTGGGATTACAGGCACGTGCCACCATGCCCAGCTAATTTTTTTGTATTTTTAGTAGAGACGGGGTTTCACCATGTTGACCAAGATGGTCTCGATCTCTTGACCTCGTGATCCACCCGCCTCGGCCTCCCAAAGTGCTGGGATTACAGGCTTGAGCCACCGCGCCCGGCTTGTCTTGGTTTTTATGTGACTGGTAATCTTTGGTCAGATGCCAGACAGTTTACCCTGCTGAGTACTAGCTTTTGTTGTTGTTAATTCTTATTCTTGAGCTTTGTTAATCAGTTCAGATACTTATGAACAGTGTGATCTTTTAAGGTCTTGCTTTTACGATTCCTCAGTCAGGCCTGGAGCTGCACTGGCTGCGGGCTACTTACTCCACCTGAGTGAGGCCAGGCCTTCGTGTGCACTCCAGGTAGTGCCCTGTGACTTGGATTTCTGGTTATGGCTGGTGGAAACAGATGCTATTCCTGGCACTGAGCATTGTTCCTTCAGATCTTTAGAACAGGGAAAGATAAGTTTTTTCTGTGAAGGGCCAGAGAATAAACATTTTAGGTGTGGCTAAATGAGTAACAAATGGGCGTGGCTGTGTCCCAATAAAACTTTACTTACAAAACAGGACCAGCTCTGGCCTGTGGCTATAGTTTGCCAACCTTTGCTTCAGGATAGCTGCTGCCAGATAAAGAACTTCTAATACATGAAGTGTTACACTTGGGTCTATTCAACAGGGTGTTTTAGAGTGCTGGAGAAAAATTAGCTAAGTACTTTCCTTCAGACAAGGGGGCCTTCTCTGAGGCCTTCTCCTCTAATTCTGCACTGGGGACTCCAGCTGCCGTGGCCTCCTTGGATTCTCAGCTTCACCTCCTGCAGTGGGGAGTCCAGCAGCTCTGGCTCCCGACCTAGGAATTCTCCAGGCGATGACTGTGATGACCACAGGGCCTCCTGCTCTTTCCTTCTTGTTGCCTGACTGTTTCATATCCTGTTTGTTCCTGGCTGTGGAAGATGCCTATTCCCCCAACTTGGCTGAAACTGGGAGTTGCTTAGCTCTTTCAATTTTTTTTTTTGAGACGGAGTTTCGCTCTTGTTACCCAGGCTGGAGTGCAATGGCGCGATCTTGGCTCACCACAACCTCCGCCTCCTGGGTTCAGGCAATTCTCCTGCCTCAGCCTCCTGAGTAGCTGGGATTACAGGCACGCACCACCACGCCCAGCTAGTTTTTTGTATTTTTAGTAGAGACGGGGTTTCACCATGTTGACCAGGATGGTCTTGATCTCTCGACCTCATGATCCACCCGCCTCGGCCTCCCAAAGTGCTGGGATTACAGGCTTGAGCCACTGCGCCCGGCCAGCTCTTTTAATTTAATTTAAATAAAATTTCAATGTAATTCCTCATCCATGCTAACTGTATCACATGGAACATGCTAGAACATTCTTGGAATCACAGGAAGTTCTGTGGGCAGCACTGCCCCAAAGGCTTCTCACCTCCTCCTTCCCTTGTGAATTGACAGCTCAAGTGTTCAGGGAAGGCTCACCTCTTACAAAAGAGACAGGTGGGCGGCCATGAGAACAGCGGGAACCTGGCCCGGCAGCAGCAGCAGATCTGTCAGGACAGACGTGGTTAGAGCCCCACTTTGTCCAAAGCGCCCTCGGGGCGGCCCTGTCCCTGCTGCCCCTCAGGGTTCCCAACCAGATCGTGAGCTAACAGTCCTGGGATCTGGCCTGTCCACACCTGCCCCTCACCCCGCAGGCAAGAGAGCAGCCCACGTCCAGGCAGCCTCACCTTCCCCTTCTTCAGACTGCTGAAGAGCTCCTTGTTCTGCAAAAACTTCTCCATCTCGGCCTTCACCAGCACACGGCGCACGTCCATCACCTCCTCCACGGTCAGGGCCAGGCTCTCCACAGGGTGGCTGAACTCCTGGGGCACAGGGCAAGCGGCTGTGCGCACTCGGCCTCAGGTATGAGTCTTCTCTGCAGCAGTCTCCCCCACCTTATTCTCCTTCTGTGAGGACCCTCATGCCCTCCTGGACTCAGCCTAAACAAGCCGGACAACTTTCTAAAAACGCTTGGGCACCCGCCATCCGGTCCTGGAAGCCGTGTACCATCCCCGTTTCTTTGACGCGGCCCTGCTGTTACAGGCCAGGCCTCCCATAAGCAGCGGGCCCTGCCAGCCAGCCCAGACCTCACTGCCACGCTACACACACTCCCCTCAGCCCGTCTGCTCAAGGTGCCGCTGCCTGCACACACACCATGGCTGACCCAAACCAGTCAGTCCATCTCAAATCTTCCCTCCCTAAGCAGCTCATCTCCTCTCTCCCAGGACCCTCCAACAAGCTGCCTCACTCCTGAGGCACTTGGCACCCTCCCGTGTCCTGACCACTGATTCGTGGGGACACAGTATGCCAAGTTTACCTCCCAGTGCTTAGCAAAGAACTTGATACCTGATCTCTCTAAGCCTCTGCTTTCTGTAAAATCGGGCTGTATTTCAGCTCCATTGAGATGATACACCAAAAGCCCTCAGACACAATGCCATCAGCCATGATTGCCAAGGCAGGTGGGTACCACCTATGAAAATGCCACAGAGATGGAGATGGACCATGTTTTCTGTTTTGGATTTGCAGTGGGTTATCCTGTCTAGAGCTGTGAACACATGCCAGGACCCTTGCAATCGTCCCCACTCTGACCTGAGGCACCCAGGGCTTTGGGCTTTGGCCTGATGGCGTTGCTTCCCTCTGAACAATTCCCTTCAAATGTCACAGATGCTACACTAACAACATCTGTGGCCAGAAGACCTCACGTCAGGTGCAGAGAACAGCAGCCTCCTCCCCAGGTGAGGATGTTAGCCCAGCGCAGATGGAAGGCCACAGGTTCTGTGATGCTCCATACCCCCTTCAGAAAGCACTTCTGAGACCTCAGAGCTAAAGAGCCTGTGTCCTCTGATTCCTTAAGAAAGAAGTGGGTATTAACTCCCTTCCTCCCCTTGAGAAAAGGAGGCTGGGCTTAGACTCACTCCCAATGAGCTGGGAAGATGGGCACTTCTGGACTTGGTCACCAACACTCAGTGGCTTTCACTGTGCTCACTCTGGAACCACTTGCTCTGGGGACACCAGCCACCATGCTGTGGGGTACCCAAGCACCATGAGAGAGGTCTACACAGCAAAGGACTTAGGCCTCCTGCTCATAGCTGGGTGAAGACCACACTTCAAGTGGCTCCTCCAGCCCCATCTGCACTTTCTTTGAGACTGCAGGCCCCACCGCCATCCTCACTGCAGCCTCACAGAAGACCCTGAGCCACAGCCACACCGCTAGGACATTCCCGGATTCCCAAGCCTCAGAAACTGTGTGAGATAATTCGTGTTTGTTATTTTAAGATGCTATACTGTGAGGTAACTTTTGATGCAGCAATATATAATCCTCAACGGGCAAGCACTGCGTGTAGGTGGAGGATAGTAACAGGGCCTTGTATTTATAACAGGCTTGTACTTCACAAAACGTTTTAACATCTGTTCTCAAACAATGACAACAACCACACCATTCACATCCCTCCAACACCTGCACGCTGCCACCAAGGCCCACGGGCCACGCGGGCCCGTTATCTCACTTGATTAAATCACACACCAGACTCAGGTCCACGAGATATGAGACCGAGGGCAGAGGGGCTGAGCAGCACCGTGGCAGCCTCAGGCCCGAGTCAAGGTCTCCACGCAGCGAACCCCCCATCACACTGACCTCCGGGCCCAGGGTGTGTGGGTTTGCCCTCTGCCCTAAACCCCACAATGAACCCTTCAATTAGATTAGAGACTTCCCTTGCAGGGTGGCTCGGGGTCTGCAGTGCAGTTCGGCTCCGGCAGGCGGCAGAAGAGACCACTGCTCCAGCAACCCCACCACTGGTGCCCCAGATGACATTTAGGTCACGCCCTCTGACCACGCCCCCAACAGGTGCTCAGAACACGCCCCCTAAACTGGCGCTCAGACCACGCCCCCACGGACGGCGCTCAGACCGCGCACCAGTCGGCCTCAGCGCTGAACACCTGGCTGGCGACTGGTTTCGCAGAGGGAAGGTGGGCCCAAAGACCCCCCCACCAGGCCGCCCTGGACGACAATCGCATCCGCACTCACCAGCCACAGGTGTTTGGCATCGGGTGTCATGGAGGCCTCGGGTCTGTCCCCCGTGGAGCCCTGGTTGCCGAGTAGTGGGTGGCTGGGGTCAGAGAGGTTGGCGGGATAGTTACCTGGGGCAGAGCAGAGGCCCCGTCAGCACCGCCTGGCAGGAGCCGCGGTACGGAGGGCTGTGCCAAGGGGCTGATGGAGATGTTGGGGGCTCCAGGGGAACCAAGCAAAAAGCCAAGCAGAGAAGCGGCTGCGCAGTAGCCACAGGGCAGTTCCAGCACGCAGGATGCCAAGGAGGGCAGATCGCTTGAGCCCAGGAGCTTTGAGCCCACTGCTGGCAACGTAGGGAGACCCCCATCTCTACAGAAAAATATAAAAGCCAGGCATCGTGGAGCACGCCGATAGTGCTAGATACTCAAGAAGCTGAGGCAGGAGGATAGCTTGAGCACACGAGGTCAAGGCTGCAATGAGCGCTAATGGTGCCTCTGCACCCTATCCTGGGAAGCGGAGAGAGACTCTGTCTCAAAAAGAAAAAAACACTGAGGAGTGTGGCTTCCATGTTGGGACCTTTGTTGGGGCCCATGTGGCACAGTGGACCCAGGAAGGGTCCCTGTCTGAGCCCTACAGCGAGCCGGCGTGGGGAGTCCTACGGCACCAGTGAGGTGGACCACAGATGCCGGGCAAGACCCTCCCACCGTCCACACCACACTGCAGTTGCAGTTGGGGGTTGGCCTCCCTCCCTGCCACCAGCTCCAAGAGGCTGAGGCACAGCTCCAGGGTCAGGGGCCTGGGGCAAGTACGAGGTTTGGAACCGACCTGGCCTGGACTTCTTAACACCAGGAAGGGAGCCATAACCACCTAACGGGATTGTCCCAAGACTCTGGCCTTGCAGGCAGACTAGGAAGCCTGGCCATGTCTGGTGGGATGTAAGGGTTGGGGGACAAGAACCCTGAGTGGTTAGGACTTTCTGCAAGGTTCAGCTCTCACGATGGTAGGACCAGCTCTGCACAGCCAGCAGGAATCGTTCTGTGCTCAGCAGCGTGGAAAGCAGTTGAAGGAACCATGGCAGCACAGAGGCAGGGTCCAGGCCGTGTGCAGTGAGCCCACTGGCTTCCTGGGGACATGCCCCTCCCTTCTCAGAGGACCGCAAGGAGCTATCATCTAGTCAGCTATGTTCCTATAGCCCGACATGTTAATAATAATTACGTCAGGCAGGCGCAGTGGCTCAAGCCTGTAATCCCAGCAGTTTGGGAGGCTGAGGCGGGTAGATCACGAGGTCGAGAGATCAAGACCATCCTGGTCAACATAGTGGAACCCCGTCTCTACTAAAAACACAAAAAATTAGCTGGGCATGGTGGCATGTGCCTGTAATCCCGGCTACTCAGGAGGCTGAGGCAGGAGAATTGCTTGAACCCAGGAGGCAGAGGTTGTGGTGAGCCGAGATTGTGCCATTGCATTCCAGCCTGGGTAACAAGAGCGAAACTCTGTCTCAAAAAAAAAAACCAACAAAAAATAATAATAATAATTACGTCTAGGTAACAGAATCATGGGAATTCTTTTTAAATATTAAAAAATATTTTTAGCCGGGCGCGGTGGCTCAAGTCTGTAATCCCAGCACTTTGGGAGGCCGAGGCGGGTGGATCACGAGGTCAAGAGATCGAGACCATCCTGGTCAACATGGTGAAACCCCGTCTCTACTAAAAATACAAAAAATTAGCTGGGCGTGGTGGCGCGTGCCTGTAATCCCAGCTACTCAGGAGGCTGAGGCAGGAGAATTGCCTGAACCCAGCCTGGGTAACAAGAGCGAAACTCCGTCTCAAAAAAAAAAAAAAAAAAAAAAAAAAAATTTTTACGGCCGGGCACGGTGGCTTACGCTTATAATCCTAGCACTTTGGGAGGCCAAGGTGGGCAGATCATGAGGTCAGGAGTTTGAGACCAGTCTGGCCAATATGGTGAAACCCCGTCTCTACTAAAAATACAAAAAATTAGCCGGGCAAGGTGGCACATGCCTGTAATCCCAGCTACTTAGGAAGCTGAGGCAGAAGAATTGCTTGAACCCAGGAGGTGGAGGTTGCAGTGAGTTGGGATCACACCAGTACACTCCGGCCTGGGGACCTGAGGTGGTGCCCTCTTGCAGGCATGAGCTCCCTGGGTCCCTGGGAGCTGCCTACTCAGGAAGACGTGGGCTGAGGTGAAGGGATGGGTACCCGCAGGATGAATAAGGGGTGGGGACGAAGGGGGGGTGCAGGAGTGGGAGGCAATACTTGCCCTGGTCTTGGGAGCCAGGACTCAATGCACGTGCACTGCCCACTCGGTGCCGTGGGGGCTCCGTCCCTCCTTTGGGCTGTGTGGCCGGCTGCAGGCCAGAGGCCACCTCACTTCGCAGCTGGGCCAGGTCATGCTCTGAGAAGGAGCGGTCCCGCTTCAGCGTCACCTCCGCACATGGAGACTCTTCTTCCTGTGGACACGGTAGATGCAGGCCTGCCCTGACTCCGCCAGTGCTGTCTGCCCGTGCCTGGACTAAGGCAAAGGACCACGGGTGCCACTGGGTCTGCTGCGACGTGGGGCGGCCTCCACCTACCTCCCAGCCTGCCCTTCTCTGGACAGTTCATGGCAAGCACCTTAATAACCAAGCCCTTCCCCAGGGCCTTCCAGAAAGTCCTAGAAAGGCACAGGTCTGGTGGCTAGTGTCAGATGGAGGCAGAGCTCTCTGGGGTGGCCCTCAACAGAGCCAGCACCAGGCCTTCCTGGGAAGAGAGGACCACCCCTTTCACAGGGCAGCCAGGGTGGGGAGGCAGCCTCCCTGGGACCAGCTTTTCATGTCAACTAGAGGGGCGCTCAGCTTCCTGGCCCTGAGACAATGAGGCACTTCCACTTCCAGCCCCTCATCGCTGTGGGAAGAGGCAGCCCAGGGACTCCCCCAGTCATCCTCATCAGCAGCCCAAATGGCAGGGTCCCTGAGCCCCACCTCCTCCTCCTGGGGCAGGAAGAGGCAGCAATGCCACAACAGGACATCAGTTTCAAAGGAGGGCCCTGGGCAGGGGACACCACACTCGCTGCTACCCCCGACTTGGCTGAGCCCTTCTTGCTTTCTCAGATCCCACCCGCCATTCCTGGTCTCCTATCAGAAACCTCCACGGACTCTGACCTCAGATGTGTTCATCTCTTCCATCTCGGCCAAGGTGGGTGCCTTGAGCAGCACACGGGGCCTCAGGCGCTGGGCGCTACCCCCAGCATCTGTGACCGACAGGTTGATGCAGGAGGTGGACTTGGAGTCTCCAGAACAGGCGTTGAGGATACAGGGCAGAGAGCCAAACCCTGCGGAGAAAGACACCATCTCAAACAAATATACATATGTACATATTATTTTAATTTAATTTTTTTCCTTTTTTTTATTTTTTGTATAAAGATGGGGTTTCGCCATGTTGGTCAGGCTGGTCTCGAACTCCCGACCTCAGGTGATCTGCCTGCCTTGGCCTCCAAAGTGCTTGGATTATAGGTGTGAGTCACCAGGCCTAATTTAATTTTTTGAAATGGAGTGTCTCTCTGTTGCCCAGGCTGGAGTGCAGTGGCATGATCTTGGCTCACTGTAACTTCTGCCTCCCAGGTTCAAGCAATTCTCCTGCCTCAGCCTCCCAGGTGGCTGGGATCACAGGCATGCGCAACCACACCCAGCTGATTTTTTATATTTTTGGTAGAGACGGTTTCACCATGTTGGCCAGGCTGGTCTAGAACTCCCGACCTCAGGTGATCCGCCCGCCTTGGCCTCCAAAGTGCTTGGATTACAGGCGTGAGCCACCAGGCCTAATTTAATTTTTTGAAATGGAGTCTCTCTCTGTTGCCCAGGCTGGAGCGCAGTGGCATGATCTTGGCTCACTGTAACTTCTGCCTCCCGGGTTCAAGCAATTCTCTTGCCTCAGCCTCCCAGGTGGCTGGGATCACAGGCATGCACCACCACACCCAGCTGATTTTTTATATTTTTGGTAGAGACTGTTTCACCATGTTGGACAGGCTGGTCTCGAACTCACCCACCTCAGCCTCCCAAAGTACTGGGATCACAGGCATGAGCCACTTCGCCCGGCCAATTTTATTTTTTTATCCCCAAGTATTCTGAGTTTCAAAAGCCTGTGTGCCTCAAAAATTAAGATGTTCTGTATCTTCCATGTATTCAGGAGCTTCTAGGAACAATGCCACCTTCCAATCTGCAACCTGACCAGGGAATGAGGGGACCGCAGCCAGGGCACGGGGTCTCTCTTCTCCCGCTGTCCCCTGGCTCACCACGGGCGGCCCAGCCCTGGCCCCGCACTGGGCGCAGCCTCCGCTCCTGCTTGATTTCCTCCAGGATCTTCTCATGCAGGGACCTCTGCTTCTGCGGCAACGGGCGCAGCCGCCTCTCGGAGACCTGGGTGGGGAAGCGTGCCATGATGAGGGCCCACTCTGGAGTCGGAAGAGCCGGCCAGGCCCACCTGGAGGGCGTGGGGCTCCCCTGGAGGAAATGGGTGTGGTTCATATGGCCCCTTCCCAGAAAGAAGGCCCCGGGCCAGCCCACAGTCAAGAGGAAGCCAGCCCGCCTCACCCGTGAGGCACACGCACTGGGACACCTCCCGGGTTGGCCACAGGACAGCGCCAGGCCCCAGGCTGCCCCTGAGAAGGAAGAGGCCATAAGACCCCAGGGAGAAGGCGCAGAGGGGCACCTGCTTCAGTGGAGGCCTTGAGCGGATGAAGTCCAGGATGAGCTCGTGAGCGTCCTTCTTCACCCGGGGCGGGATGTCCCCATCCACCTGCCAGGGAGGATGGCCGGCCTGAGACCCTGCAGGAGCCACTGCTAGTGCAGGGTGACAGGGAGGGGCTCACTCAGCCCAAGAAGAGCCTGGTCCTCACACCCGCCCAGCCTCCCACCCTCTGCTCCCGGAGACCCAGCCGCTTCTCCCGTAAGTGCATGGTGGACCCATGCTCTGAGCGGCCACGGCATCCAGGTTCTGAGGCGTCCCCCGCTAGCTGCCCCAGCATCCAGGACCTGGGCTTCATCTGGAGGTGGGAGTGAGATGGCAGGAACCTCACAGGGGCATCTTAGGAACCATGCTAGTTTGTCCTAAGGACTCCATGAGTTTTGTTAAGAAAAAATGTCCTACAGCCTCAGCTCTCACGGCCCCTCCTCCAGAGGTCATCCCTGATACCCCAGAACCTTCCACACTTCCTTTCCCTGCTTGGCCACTGTCCCTGATGTGATCTCCAGCTCTGTGAATTGGGGCCACATCTCCCTAATCCATATTCTATACCTCAGTACCCAGCACAGAGAGCAGGGACCCGGGGCCGCTCTCTAGGGTGGGCTGCCCAACAGCTAGGCTGCCCCTCTGCACCCACCCCACTCACCATGACCTTATACAACAGGCTGCCCGTCTACACGCACCCCACTCACTGTGACCCTACATACCAGGCCACCCCTCCACACCCAGCTCCAATTCACCATGACCCTACACACCAGGCCGCCCCTTCACGCCCAGCCCACTCACCATGACCTTATACACCAGGCCACCTCCCACACCCACCCCCAATTTGCCATGACCCTACACACCAGGCCGCCCCTCCACACCCACCCTGCTCACCATGACCCTACACACCAGGCTGCCCCTCCACACCTAGCCCGCTCACCAAGACCCTACATACCAGGCTGCCCCTTCACACCCAGCCCGCTCACCATGACCTTACACACCAGGCCGCCCCCCACACCCACCCTGCTCACTGTGACCCTACACACCAGGCCTCCCCCCACACCCACCCAGCTCACCGTGACCCTGCACACCAGGACGCCCCCCACACCCACCCAGCTCACCATGAGCCTGCACACCAGGCCGCCCCTCACACCCACCCAGCTCACCATGACCCTGCATACCAGGCCGCCCCCACGCCCACCCAGCTCACCGTGACCCTGCACACCAGGCCGCCCCCCACACCCACCCAGCTCACCGTGACCCTGCACACCAGGACGCCCCCCACACCCACCCTGCTCACCGTGACCTTACACACCAGGCCGCCCCCCACACCCACCCAGCTCACCGTGACCCTGCACACCAGGCCACCCCCAATACCCACCCTGCTCACTGTGACCCTGCACACCAGGCCGCCCCCTCACACCCACCCTGCTCACTGTGACCCTGCACACCAGGCCGCCCCCCACACCCACCCTGCTCACCGTGACCTTACACACCAGGCCGCCCCTCACACCCACCCTGCTCACCATGACCCTACACACCAGGCCGCCGCCCCCACACCCACCCAGCTCACCATGACCTTTCGCAGTTTGTAATTCCGGGCCCGGATGTCCTGCATCAGCATCTCGAAAGGCGTGAGCTGGAACTCAGTGGGGAGGGGGTTGAACTCCTGCTCCTGCACCTTCTTCAGCTTCACTCCGTGGCGGAGCTCCCGCATGAGCTGGACCCACAGTCGGGCCTGGGCCCCGGGATAGGAGAACACTCTCAGCCCAGGCCCCTCAGGGAGAGCCTGGCAGCCCCATCAGGTGGGAGCGAGTCTTACCCAGTCTGTGTGGCCCAGGCTGTCAAGCTCAGCCTGCGGTGTCTCCGCCTGCGGCTCGTCCTCCCGAAGCTTCTGCAACATCTGTGACCACACACGCTCGTCAGTCCAGGAAAGGTGCCAGAATGGCGGATGCAGGACGGGCCCTGTCCGTCGGGGACACGGCCACACAATGGGGCTCCGACTCAGCCAGCCGGAGAAGAAAAGAGTGGGCATTTGGTCCAGGCCTCAGGACTCACAAAGATATCTGGGGAAACTGAGTCATCAGCCTCGGAACCACATAGGGCACCTGACGTCCTGTCAGGCTTCCCTGACCACCCTTGACACAGGCTTGGGCCGCAGATGGGGCCAAGCAGCTCGGAGTGCCACGCGGCATCCAGCACTGTGGTGAGGGCCTGTCTGGTAATTGCTCTATGCTGAGAACTTGGGAAGAAGGTCCTGCATCTGCTGCCTCTGCTCTCACTAAGACCCCTGAGAGGCCGAAGTGGGAGGATCACTCGAATCCAAGAGTTTGAGACCAGCCTGAGCAACATAGTGCTAAGAAAAGAAGAAAAAAAGAGCTGAGGGAACCAGTGAGGTGGGGTGACCACCTGCTAAGGCTCAGAGGGTCAGGGAAGCTGGCCAGGAACACTTCTTAGTTAAAGAACAGGAGAGTCACAGCCCCTTAAAGGGTCAGGGAGAAATGGGGGACAAGCAGCAGTTAACTTCAAAAACACCTTCTGCCACTAAGGCAAGAGAGAATCCCGCCTCTCCAAGGCCTGGCCTTCTCTGTGAGATGCTGACAAGGCAGAGCCCAGGTGTGCAGAGACCCCAGGACACAGAAGCACACTGGCTCCCTCGGGGCAGCAGCCGCTCCCGGGGAGAGGCTGAGACAGTCAGGGAGGGATGGCTGCTCCTAACTCTGGGTTCACAGAGAGGCAGGAGGCCCTGTGGGCAGCTCCAGCTTGGGAGCCACGTGGAGCCGAGTACTGCCCAACTCTTGCTCTGTGGCTTCGGGAAGGGTCCCAGCCTCAGAGCTGGCACACGCTCATCTGTGAAATAGCTCCTCCGCCTGGAAGAGGCAGGAGGACAAGGCAGGGCTGTCGCAGGCCCAGCAAGTGAGTTCGTCACTGAACAGCACATCCCCACATCCCTACCTAAAGCTCTAAGCGGGCTGCTGAGGCTTTCTGCACTTCCAGGGTATAGAGGGGCCACCTTTGGCATCTTACTTCAGAAGGAACCCGGCCCCGGAGAGGCTGGAGGGGAGGCAGGAGGCAGGGCGCCTTCTTGTAGATGTAAAAGTAGGAGAAGAGGTAACATCTTAGAGGAACAGGAGAGAGCAGTTGGGAAGGGGCTGAGTCCACCACTTAACTTCTCTGATAAGAAGAAAGTGTGAGGCTGGGCGAGGTGGCTCACACCTGTAATGCCAGCACTTTGAGAGGCCAAGGCCAAGGCAGACAGATCACCTAAGGTCAGGAGTTTGAGACCAGCTTGGCTAACATGGTGAAACCTCCTCTACTGCCAGGCGTCGTGGTGTGTTTGTGTAATCCCAGCTACTCGGGAGGCTGAGGTGGGAGAATTGCTTGAACCTGGGAGGTGGAGGTTGCAGTGAGATGAGATTGAGCTGCTGCCCTCCAGCCTGGGCAACAGAGTGAGACCGTGTCTCCAAAAAAAAAAAGAAACCAAAAAAACAGTGGCTCATGCCTGTAATCCCAGCACTTCGGGAGGCCGAGGCAGGCAGATCATGAGGTCAAGAGATCCAAACCATCCTGGCCAATATGGGAAAACCCTGTCTCTACTAAAACACAAAAATTAGCCAGGCGTGGTGGTGCGCGCCTGTAGTCCCCGCTACTAGGGAGGCTGAGGCAGGATAATTGCTTCAACCCAGGAGGTGGAGGCTGCAGTGAGCTGAGATCGCGCGACTGCACTCCAGCCTGGCGCCTGGAGACAGAGCAAGACTGTCCCAAAAAAGAAAAAAGAAAAATAAAAAGAAAGCGTGAGGGTTAAGTGGGAATACAGAACGCAAGCAGCCGCCGCCCTGTGGACCTGACTCTGTCCACAAAGAGCCGGCCCCTCCCGCACGCAGGCCCCTGCCGGGCCTTTCCCGCTCACCTCCTTGGCCTCACGGACCCTGGCCAGGAAAGCGCGCAGCTCCAGCGTCTCCACGAAGAGCGCGCGGCACACGGCCTGGTAATGCGCCTGTGCGCCTCGAGGGTCGGTCAGCCGCGCTGCGCACAGCCGCATGGCTTGGGCGAAGGTGCGCACGCTGCGGGGGACGCCCTCGGCCTCCTCCTCCTCCTCTGGGCCCCCGTAGCCCTCGTCGGCGGCGCCGCAGCCACTGTCGTCGCTGTCGTTGTTGGCCATGAGGTCGATGAGCCGCTCCAGCTGCGGGCTGAGTTCGCGCTCCTCGCTCTCGTCCAGCCCCCAGTCCAGCGCGCGGTAGATGGCAAAGCCCAGGGACTGCACGGTCTGCGGGACGGGCAGGGGCGCGGTCACCGGGCGGCCCTGGTGGGGGAGGGGGCTAGGCTGGGGGGATGGGCAGGAAGGGGAGAAGGCGGCCGGCAGGTGCAGGGAGCCCCGCACCCGGCCAGGGAGGCAGCAGCGCCCGCAGAGGAGACCTGGGCACAAGCAAACGGAGCTGTTGAAAGGCTATTCGCAGAGGGCGCTGCCACTGTGGAAATCAGGGCCATCTGCCGGCCGCGTACTCATACCTGTCTTGCCAGCACTTCGGGAGGCCGAGGCAGGCGAATCACCTGAGGACAGGAGATCGAGACCAGCCTGGCCAACACTGTGAAACCCCGTAACTACTAAAACAAAATTATCCAGGTGTGGTGGCAGGTGCCTGTAATTCCAGCTACTCAAGAGCCTAAGGCAGGAGAACCGCTTGAACCCAGGAGGAGCAGGTTGCAATAAGCTGAGATAGCACCACTGAACTCCAGCCTGGGCAACACAGCAAGACTCCTTCTCAAATAATAGTAATAGAAAAAAAATTTTTTTTTTTTTTTTTTTTTTTTTTTTGAGACCGAGTTTTTGCTCGTTACCCAGGCTGGAGTGCAATGGCGCAATCTCGGCTCACCACAATCTCCGCCTCCTGGGTTCAGGCAATTCTCCTGCCTCAGCCTCCTGAGTAGCTGGGATTACAGGCACGCGCCACCATGCCCAGCTAATTTTTTGTATTTTGAGTAGAGACGGGGTTTCACCATGTTGACCAGGATGGTCTCGATCTCTTGACCTCGTGATCCACCCGCCTCGGCCTCCCAAAGTGCTGGGATTACAGGCTTGAGCCACCGCGCCCGGCGAAAAAAAATTTTATTTTTGAGACGGAGTTTCACTCCTGTTACCCAGGCTGGAGTGCAATGGCGCGATCTCGGCTCACCGCAACCTCCGCCTCCCGGGTTCAGGCAATTCTCCTGCCTCAGCCTCCTGAGTAGCTGGGATTACAGGCATGCGCCACCATGCCCAGCTAATTTTTTGTATTTTTAGTAGAGACAGGGTTCCACCATGTTGACCAGGATGGTGTTGATCTCTGGACCTCGTGATCCACCCACCTCCGCCTCCCAAAGTGCTGGGATTACAGGCTTGAGCCACCGCGCCCGGCCCAGAAGTCTTTTTAAAAGCACATTAAAAATCAGTGCAGCCTCACAGCAAAGATCTCTTAACTCAGCATTTCTCGATTTTACTTTGCAGGGAACCCTAAATCAACCACAAGGGGCACCAGTAGTCTGCGGAGTGACCTGGGAGGTACTGACACGCCCACCCTGGTCACCAACATCTGCACGGACTTCCGGGCCCACAGGCCCAGGTGGCCCCCAGGTGGTCCAGTCTTCTGGGGCAGGGAGGCAGAGTGGCATGGCCAGACACAGGAGGTCGGTGATAATTACAAGGATACTTAAACGCTGCACAGCACTCTGTTCCATGTCTTAAAGGGTTCTCATGGTTTAAGACAAGGAAAGAAAGATCCACATACACAAATACACCTACAGCACTCCTTACACACCGTGCTGGGCCCTGCATGCCACGCACCCTCCTGACCTCGAGCTACACTGATGTGGGTACAGGAACGGAGGCATAGAGAGGTCGGGCCCCTTGACCACAGTCTCAACAGGCCCAGATGGACCAGGTCAGGGGGCTGCTCATGACCCCTGTCTAAGCTCGGTGCCACGCTTCCAGGGTGGGAGGCCACAGTGTGGCAGATGGAGCCACGCCTCCCCCAGGCACTGTCCACTTCCTTGGACCACTTTGCCTTCCCGGCCCTGCAGGGGGGCCCTTTGGCCTCTAATTTCCTGTGTACTCTCTACCCCCACTCCCTGCTGAAAACCCAGGAAACTTGAGCCTGAGCCAGGCAGAACAAGAACAGGTGAAAGTCAGGCCAGGGACAAGGCCTGAGAACACAGCCTCCTCCATCCTGCAGAAACTCCACAGAAGGCTCCAAAACCTGCCTCCTCTCTCCTAAAGTAACACCACAGAAGGCTCCAGAACCTCCCTCCTCCGTCCTGCAGAAACACCACAGAAGGCTCTGGAACCTGCCTCTTTTCTCCTAAAGAAACACCACAGTAGGCTCCAGAACCTGCCTCCTCCCTCCTGCAGAAACTCCACAGAAGGCTCCGGAACCTGCCTTCTCCCTCCTGCAGAAACACCACAGAAGGCTCTGGAACCTGCCTCCTCTCTCCTGCAGAAACACCACAGAAGGCTCTGGAACCTGCGGGGACACTGTTAGAAAATGTGAGGATTCAGGGCAGTGCAGCCCAGCCCACCCTATGACTCACTGTTGTCTCATATCTGCTGTAGACGGGCAAGATGTGCCATGGAATCAAGGTCAGAGGGTGCCGGGGCAGCTACGGCCTAACGGCCACACCCAACAAGTGACAGCAGGGCCCCCTGGGGTAAGGGATCTGAGAGAGGAGTCTTAGGGCCCCTCCTGGGCACAGTGATGAACAGAGGGCAGGGGTTCGGGAAGCCGACTAGCCAGAGCCAATGTTAATGCAATTGCCCAGCAGTCCTTTCTGGGCCCCAGAGGAAAATGCCAGGAAGGAGAGCGTAGCCGGAGCAGAAAATAGTGGGGCTGGCCTCAGCTCCTGGGGTCCCTGGTCGTGTGGCTCTGATTCTAACCCTTGACACAGGAGAGACAAAGAGAGCAGGCAGCAAAGCCCCCAACCTCCACGATGCACACAGCAGCACCCAACCCCTCTGGACACTCCCTCCTTTTCCTGGCCAGAGCGGAAAGGGTTAACTCCAAACCGTGTCTCTTATCTGATGGCTGCCTCCATAAAAGTTCTTTTGTGCCCAAATCACTGGAAACTTTCTCTGAGCAGCAAAAAACCTGCTTTCCCATAAGGAAAATTCTGGGCGGGGAGCCAGTCTCAGAGTCTCCCAGCTCCACCCGCCCATAGCAGGTGCAGGCCTGGGGCAACCGGTGGGCAGTAATGCCAGCCCGGGGCACTAGCCCAGTAAGCAAGGGGAATCCAGGAGCAAGAACTGAGATGAGCTCGTTAAGAAGTTCCCGCGCCCAGTTTCCTGGGGACAGGGCGATCGGATAATGTCAGGATAAGGTAAGCATCTCAAACGGTCCAGGTTGCATCCCGCATTCACAGCTGTCTGTAAAATGTTTCACAGGTGCCACAGCAGACCTGCTTTGGAAAGTTCCAGGCGGGCAGCAGCAGCTGCACCCCTGTTTGGAGACTTGGGACAGCAAGGCCAGCCGGCCTGCCGGCCCTGGAGTCCCAGACTTCAGAAACGTAAACTATCTGGTGAATTACACAGCAGCGAGACAGAATGAAGAACAAGCCAACACAGCCACACAGACCGGCCCCATGCATGTCCCAGGAAACTACGTACACCACAAGGGCATCTCCACGGGGCTACAAGGCATCCCTGAGCGGCACGCTGTGGAAGGTACCAGCGCCCCAAGGTTCTCCGTGGTGGGAGGGCATCTCACCACTGAATTGTTGAGCATTACATGTGGTGACATAGACTCCGGTTCTATTACCGTTTTTAAATTATCAGCAACAGACCACATACCCTCTTTCGGTCTGACATCCACCCTGGGTATACCACTATCTCTAATAATATATAAATAGGTATTCCGATAAAACTATGTTTTTGTTTTCTTCTTTTTTTAAAAAAAAATCAATCTCACTTGGGCATGAAAAACTGTTTTAAAAAAGACAGAAGATACTTGGGAGGCTGAGGCAGGAGAATTCCTTGAACCTGGGAGACACAGGTTGCAGTGAGCTGAGATCACGCCACTGCACTCCCGCCTGGGCAACAAGAGTGAAACTCTGTCTGAAAAAAAGAAAACAAACTTAACATTCAATTTTGGGAGAGGCACTAAAAAAAACCAAAAAGACAAAAATAAATAAATAAATAAATAAATAAATAAATAAATAAATAAATAAATAAATAAATAAAAAGGCCAGGTACAGTGGCTCACACCTGTAATCCCAGCACTATGGGAAGCTGAAGAGGGCAGATCACGAGGTCAGGAGATCAAGACCATTTTGGCCAACATAGCAAAACCCCATCTCTACTAAAAACACAAAAATTACCTGGCTGTTGGCCGGGCGTGGTGGCTCAAGCCTGTAATCACAGCACTTTGGGAGGCCGAGGCGGGTGGATCACAGGGTCAAGAGATCAAGACCATCTTGGTCAACATGGTGAAACCCCATCTCTACTAAAAATACAAAAAATTAGCTGGGCATAGTGGCATGTGCCTGTAATCCCAGCTACTCGGGAGGCTGAGGCAGGAGAATTGCCTGAACCCAGGAGACAGAGGTTGCTGTGAGCCGAGATCGCGCCATTGCACTCCAGCCTGGGCAACAAGAGTGAAACTCCGTCTCAAAAAAAAAAATTACCTGGGTATGATAGGGCGTGTATATAGTCCCAGCTACTTGGGAGGCTAAGGCTGGAGAATCGCCTGAACCCGGAAGGCAGGGGTTGCAGTGAGCCAAGATCGTGCCACTGCACTCCAGCCTGGTGAAAAACCCCGGCGTGGTGGCTCACTTCTGTAATCCCAGCACTTTGGGAGGCTGCAGTGGGCAGATCACAAGGTCAGGAGTTCAAGACCAGTCTGGACAACATGGTGAAACCCTGTCTTTACTAAAAATAGAAAAAAATCAGCCAGGCGTGGTGGTGCTGCGCATCAGCAGTTGCAGCTGCTTGGGACGCTGAGGCAGGAAAATCGCTTCAACCTAGCAGGCAGAGGCTGCAGTGAACCGAGACCATGCCACTGCACTCCAGCCTGGATAACAGAGGGAGACTCTGTCTCAAAAAGCAAACAAACGGGCCGGGTGTGGTGGCTCACGCCTGTAATCCTAGCACTTTGGGAGGCCGAGGTGGGTAGATCACCAGAGGTCAGGGGTTCAAGACCAACCTGGCGATCATGGTGAAACCCTATCTTTAAAAAAAAAATTAAAATTAAAAATTAAAAAAAAAGAAAAAACAAAGAAACAAAAAGCAAGCAAACAAACAAAAAAGGCAGAAGAGGCCAGGCACAGTGGCCCATGCCGACAATCCCAGCACTTTGGGAGGCCGAGGTGCGAGGGTGGCTTGAGCCCAGCCTGGGCAACATAGTGAGACCTTGTCTCAATCAAAAAGTAAAACAAAATGAACACAAGCTAAAAAACAAATGAAGAAAAACAAAAAGGCGGCCGGGTATGATGGCTCACACCTGTAATCCAAGCACTTTGGAGGCCAAGACAGGCGGATCACCTGAGGTTGGGAGTTCAAGACCAGCCTGACCAACATGGTGAAACCCCATCTTTATTTTAAAAAAATAATAAATAAATAATAATTAAAAAAAGAAAACCAAAAAGGTAGTAGAAAGACAAGACATGAAGTTGAGAACATTACTTCGGGGCAGGCTGGGAGGAGAAAGGTGACACCCTGTTGTTGAAGTTCCAGTTGTGGGCTGGGTGGAGTTTCTGGGCACTGGTCATCAGGGTGATTTTTCCTGTTTGCACTGGAAGTCCTCTCCCTGACCCAGGATCTGTATCTGTGAGGCCAGCCCTGCAGACCTCACCTGGGCTCCTCATCTGTCCAGATGTGGAAGGAAGTCAATACCACTGCCCTCTTCTCCTGGCCGGGGTGGGATGGCACCAACGGGGGCTCACAGGGGCCCTCCCCGCCCTGGTGGTCTTCTCCCTGTCTGCTCTCAGTGAACAGTGTCTTCACCAAGTCCCTGCAATTAAGCCTGTTGGATATTTTAACTGTGCCCCGCCTCCCTGAAACAACTGTGTAACTATACATGCTTTATTATTTATTATTTATGTTTTAAGATACATTTTAATACATATCAAGTAATATTTGGAATTTTTAAAAAAGTACCTGGGCTTCCGAACTGGCTAGTGGCACCACCATGGTTGCAGGTTCTGTAAGAGAAGAGGGAGTTAGGGCATTTGTCAGCATCTCTGGGACCCTAGCAAACAGCTGTCACCCTACCTCCCTCTCAGGGACACACACCACATCCCCAGTCTCCGTGGGAACACCAGAAAGCTCACAGCAGGCCCATCCGCTCAGTCATGTGGATGCCCACCTATGAGACCCAGCTCAAGCTGGCTCTAAGCAGGACACCCAGGTCTAGGGGCCGGAAGAGCAGCGTAGCCCCTGCTCACAGAAGGATGATGGTCAGCCGGCAAACAGACCCCCAATGCCTCATCCAGCAGTCACACTCCATCATGAGCGCTGTGGGGTGGGGGCTGGAGAGCAGAAAGCGGGTCCCACAGAGTCCATCCCGGGCGCTACAGGAGGCTGCCCCAGGGAAACTCGGCTTCAAGTGAGAGTGAAGAAGGATGAGAAGGTTGGATGGGGTGTTCACACCTATATTCCCGGCACTTTGAGAGGCTGAGGTGGGAGAACTGCCAGGGGGCAGGAGTTCAAGACCAGCCCAAACAACATAGTAAGACCCTGTGGCTACAAAAAATTTAAAAACTACTTTGGAAGGCCAAGGTGAGTGGATCACTTCAGGCTAGGAGTTCAAGACCAGCCTAACCAACATGATGAAACCCCATCTCTACTAAAAATACCAAATACAAAAATAAGCCAGGCATGGTGTCAGGCACCTGTAGTCCCAGCTACTCAGGAGGCTGAGGCAGGAGAATTGCTTGAACCCAGGTAGTGGAGGCTGCAGTGACCCAAGATCATGCCACTACACTCCCACTTGGGCAACAGACCGTGACTCTGTCTCAAAAAACATACAAAAATAAAAAGATTAGCCTGGCATGGTGGCAGGTGCCTGTAGTTCTGCGACTTGGGATGACCACTGGAGCCCAGGAGGTTGAGGCTGCAGTGAGCTACAACAGCATCACTGCACTCCAGCCTGGGTGACAGAATGACACTGTCACAAAAGAAAAAAGGAGGCTGGGCACAGTGGCTCATGCCTGTAATCTCAGCACTTTGGGAGGCCAAAGCAGGGGGATTGCTTGAGATTAGGAGTTCGAGACCAGCCTGGGCAACACAGCAAAACTTCATCTCCCCAAAATGTACAAAAGATTAGCTGGTCATGGTAGTGTGTGCCTGTAGTCCCAGCTACTCGGGAGACTAAGGTGGGAGGATTACTTGCCCCTGTGAGGTGGAGGCTGCAGTGAACCGAGGTTGCACCACTGCACTCCAGCCTGGGTGAGAGAACCAGACCAGTCTCACAAAAAAAAAAAAAAAAAAAAAAAAAAAAAAAAAACGAAAAAGGCAGCAGCTCTATTGAGGCACATGGAGAAATCCAAGCTCAGAGGGAGTGACAGACTTCAGTCACTGAGTGGGTGTAAGTCAGCATCTGACTGAAGCCCCAATTTGGGGCTGTACCCCAAAACTGCTCATGCCTGTCTCAGAGAGCTGAGTCCGAGTGGAACTGCAGGTGGAAGCTGGAATCTCACGCATTTCGCTTGTGAAACGTGGCCTCTGGGACGCCGGGCCTACCTTGTGCAGGGCTCCCATACAGCCCTGGAGGCTGCTCCAGCTCCCATATCACAGAAGAGGAAACAGACACCTGGAGGGTGAATCTGTTTGCTCCGAGCTGTTGAGGTCGGTAGGTGCTGGAAGCAGGGCCAGGCCGTGGGATCCCAGGGTCTGTGCTGCTGACCGCTCCCCACCCTCCTCCCCCGGCCTTCCCAAGATACTGTACTGGGTGAGGTGCAAAAACCCCACCCACTTCTACAGCCTTCCTTGAACTGGGCATGCAGGGGGAGCAGTGCTAGAACATGAGTTCCAGCTGCCTTAAATTCTTTCTGGAATGAGGTAAGATATGTAGCTGTATAGAGATAAGCCATGAAATTGTCTGCCTAGTGGACCTGCTAACTCTGCAAATATTTTCAAAATGCCATCAAGAACCAGGAAGATTGCCAAAGATAAAGGGAGTCTGATGCATTAACATAATGGAAAGCAATCCACTCCCAGCATTAGCGGAGGTAATAAGAAACGAGCAGCCCACCATGGCGGGTTGGGGAGGGTATCCCCAGGCCCTGGGCAGTCCTGGCTGGGCATTCTTCGGCAAGTTTGCAGCTGTGACTGGGTGAGGCAATGGGAAGGTGGAAGACATCAGACCCAAACAAAAGTGCTCCCTGGAGAGACCAAGGTGCTGGGCTACTTGTGTGGGGAAGGGCTGACTGGGGACTGGCCCTTCACAGGCTCAGCCACGGTCAGGGAGGACCTCAGTCCACTGGAAGCTTCCGGTTGGAATAATGGTAATGTTTGTGCCCCTGGCTCAAATACTCCACATGTTAACAAAAAGGTTGTGCCAAAATTAAATGTTCATGGCCAGGCGCCATGGCTCATGCCTGTAATCCCAGCACTTTGGGAGGCCAAGGCGGGCGGATCACCTGAAGTCAGGAGTTCGAGACCAGCCTGGCCAACATGGTAAAAACCCATTTCTACTAAAAATACAAAATGAAGCCGGGTACAGTGGCTCACACCTGTAACCCCAGGACTTGGGGAGGCAGAGGCAGGAGGATGAAAAGGTCAGGAGTTTGAAATCAGCCTGACCAACATGGTGAAACCACATCCCTACTAACAATACAAAAATTAGCTGGGTCTGGTGATGGGCGCTTGTAATCCCAGCTACTCAGGGGACTGAGGCAGGAAAATCGCTTGAACCTGGGAGGCAGAGGTTATAGTGAGCCAAGATCATGCCATTGCACTCCAGCCTGGGCAAGAGAGCAAGACTCCATCTCAAACAAACAAACAAAACAAAACAAAAGTTAGCCAGGCATGGTGGCACAGCCTGTAATCCCAGCTACTCAGGAGGCTGAGGCAGGAGCATCACTTGAACCCAGGAGGTTGGCACAACTTGAACCCAGGAGGTGGAGGTTGCAGTGAGCCGAGATCGAGCCACTGCACTCTAGCCTAGGTGACAGAGCAAGGCTCCGTCTCAAAAAAAAAAAAAAAAAAAAAAAAAAAAATTAAGGGTTCATGAATCTAACTGTTTTTAAACTGCAAGGACCTGTGGTGTCTCTGGGCTCTGAGATGACAGATTATCTGGGGGAGGCTTGCAGGCTGAGAGGCCTTGCAGCCAGAGCCTGCACCTAGGACTCTGCTCAGATGCTGCAAAACTAGATGCTGAAAAATTATTTACTGTGGCCTCAATCTGCACAGCTATCCCACAAACGCTGGTGCCATGATTCCCTCGTGACAGATGAGGAAACTGAGGTTCAGGCAGGTTGAGAAACTGACCCAAGACCATACCCCTAATAAAGGAAGAAGCTGGGCCACCAAGCACAACCAGACCACAACAAGCAACTCACCCAAACACCCAGGTATAAACGCACAGAGCTACCACAGACAGGTTGCCAACATGGTCACACAGGGTTATGCAAATGATCTGGGGCTTATTTGAAAAATTCTCTCTAAGGGAGAGCAGATGGAGGCAGTGAGGACTCGGACTTATCACATCTGAGAGCGCCACGTTGAGGTGGGAGCCAGAGCAGGACCCTGGCTTCTATCACCGCATACTCAGAACTATTTCTCCCTGCAGGGAAGCACAGCCTCAGGGAAAGAAGGAAAGCTACTGGGTTTTCCCTTTTTTTTTTTTTTTTTTTTTTTTTTTTATAAGAGATGGGGTTTCACCATCTTGGCCAGGCTGGTTTTAAACTCCTGACCTCATGATCTACCCATCTCAGCCTCCCAAAGTGCTAGGATTACAGGCGTGAGCCACCGTGCCCGGCCCCTTCTTTTTTTTTTTTTTTTTTGAGACAGAGTTACCCAGGCTGGAGTGCAATGGCGCGATCTCAGCTCACCGCAACCTCCGCCTCCTGGGTTCAGGCAATTCTCCTGCCTCAGCCTCCTGAGTAGCTGGGATTACAGGCACAAGCCACCATGCCCAGCTAATTTTTTGTATTTTTAGTAGAGACGGGGTTCCACCATGTTGACCAGGATGGTCTCGATCTCTTGACCTCTTGATCCACCCACCTCGGCCTCCCAAAGTGCTGGGATTACAAGGCTTGAGCCACCGCGCCCAGATCCCTTCTTGTTTTTTTAAACAAGGTCTTGCTTTCTGACCCAGGTGGAGTGCAGTGGCGTGATCATGGCCCGCTGCAGTCTCCACTTCCTGGGCTCAAGCAGCCCTCCTGCCTCAGCCTCCCAGCATGCGGGGTGAGTGGTGTGAGCCACCGCAGCCGGCCTCAGGTTTCTTTTGAATAAAATAACAAACGAGTAGAACCAAGATGCCAGTGAGTCTTCTTTGAAGCAATCCTGTGTATGGTTGTAAGAGATGACACAGTTCATTTGAAAGAGAGAGGTCTGTGGGTCATTCGCAGCCTGAATTCCCCCAGCAGCTTTGAGAGGAAGTGCTGCTCCCACATGGCAGGCAGGTGGCGGGTGGACAGAGGTTACCAGGCAGCCTCAGCCTCCATCTACCTGGGGTGTCAGCCCAGCGCGGCAAGGGGTTTGGTGGGAATGGGGCTCTGGGAGGAGGTTGGATTCTGGCCAGTCTGTGGCTGCTGGCACTGGGTATCCTGCCCCTGTGACCTCACTTCCTCACTTGCAGAACAAAGAGGACTCCTGCCCAGTCTCACTCACGCTGTAACCTCAAAGCACAAGTCAGGTGGCAGACACACAGACACCGTCCTTGGTGACAACAGCGTAAGGCCACAAAGACCTCCTGTCCAGGCTTGGCCCAAGGGTGCCCTGCCCAAGGGTGCCCTGAGTCTCTAAGGCTTAGGGTCAGGACAGGGATGGCTCTGGGGGAGCCCATGCTCTCTGCATGGGAAGGGATATGACTCCCCTTTTTTCCCCACCCCCAGAGAAAGAAGACCTCACACACCTTGAGGAGGCCACAACGTTTGGCTACACTGGGCCCACCCTCGGTGTACATGTGGCCCCCAGGAGTGTGTCAACACTGAAAGCGCGTGAAGCCCATCTCTCATCTCCCAAGGGGCTTCCTGCC